AAAAAAAAAAAAAAAAAACAGCAATGATACTAGAAATAATCGTGAATAGCAATATCAATAACATGGCAAAGCACATCATTGTGCGAACCATGGCTCTTTTGCACAAGGGATGTAGGCAGCAGGTGCGGAGGGGACGCGTTCACCCCAAGACAAACTGGATAGCCTTACGTTGTCCACCAGCGAGGTGGGCTCATGATGAAGATCACTAAGGTGCAGCATATTGATTTCAATCAAGAAACCGGACTGTGAACAGGAGAACCATTCTTAAAATGCCATCCTTGAAAAACTCCTGCTTGAAGGTTCCTGGGACTTAGTAATTACTTCTAACTGGCTTTAGAACCGTACTCAAAATTGAGGTAACCTATATCAGCCCAGTCAGGAGGGTTATGAGTGAGGTTGTAAGTTATAAGCCCTGCTAAAAGTAGTTGCTAAGTCCGGAACCATGAACCTTGGAGTAGGGACTTTGGATTCTCAACCCTAAACCCTAACCTAGGGACCCCAGATTGTCGAACGCCCGCATGGACAAGTTACCCCGTGAGCAGGTCGGCTCCAGAGACGTCTGCACTTGCTGGACCATCCGCATGCCTGCAGAATAGGGGTGAGGGGGTGAGGGATTAGGGGGATTAGGGCAATAGAGGGGTTGAGGGTGCAGGGCTTCAGGGTCTAGAGGGCTTCAGGGCTGAGGACTCGTAACAGCAAGTAAAGTAGGAAGTGCTTGGGTTTGTAATTCTGGTCCCATAGATGAGGTTAGGTAGTGTTTGGGGTTTATCATGCTTGAATAAGGGTGTCATTAGGTTGTTTGGGAAAATCCCGGTGGTTTGCAACAAGAATGTCAGCAGGCTGGTTTGTAAAGAAGCTGTTAGGTGTAGGGTGTAGATGAATCTTGCAATCGAAACTCTAGTAGGCTTTAAGGGCTTTGTGCTTGTTGACACCTGCAAGGAAAGAGTAGATTGTGTTTAGCATATGAGCCATGGTCTAAACTCCCAGTATCCCCCTTAATAACCCTTCAAGGGGTTGGGGCAATAGCTCCTATGAGGTTTGCAATACTTGCAGTAGGATTGAAAATGGGCCCTAAACCCTAAACCCTAAACCCTGTTTAGGACTTGGGGCTTCTCAAGGGGTTTAGGGCTCAGGGCGCCAGGAGAATGCAACTGGGGGTCGCACAGGGCTTGTGAGTTTTAATACGTGCCACGCAGATGGGTTTAGGGATTTAGGGTTTAGGGTTTGGGGTTTAGGGTTTAGGGTGTAGTGCTTGGGATTTACGGCTTCACTGGACATAAGGGTGTAAGTAGATCGTGCCTAGGATTTAGGGGTTGAAATACATGCAGTAAACATTTAAGCAGGTAGTGTCTGGGAACCTAGGATGTACTTGGGACAGGTTTCAGATTCTGTGTTTATCTCTACGATCATAAACATACATGATTCAGTCCATAATTATTGCTTCTATACTAAACTAAAAATGAAAAAAAGCAATGACAAAGATAATGAGCGTAAAGGTACCTACCACAGCAACCATGCCAAGAAACCAAACGAGAACACAACAAGCAGTGGTGAACTTGGAATAGGCATGCGCCAGGTCAACCTTGCGGTTCAGCTTTGCAACTCCACGACCTCATGGGGTCACAGCCCCTAAACCCTAAACCCTTAACCCTATCTCCTAAACCCTTATCCCTAACTCCTAACTCCTAAACCCTCAACCCTAAACCCTAAACTTTAACCTATCTGGTAAACCCTAACTCCTCCCTCCAGGTTTTGTTTCTCCTCACACGGGCTGCGGCTGAACCGGCAACAACCTGTCAGCCTCGGCTCCAAATCTAAAGGGACCACTCAAGGACCTCACGAATCTATAGTCCCCCTTAAGTAGATAGAATATGGCTTATAATAAGGTATATTTTGGAGATATATAGGGATAACGGAAAAGAAATTGGAAACTACTATATTATATTAGGGTATATATTGTTTTTTTGGTTTAGGGGTTCTAGACCCCCTTAAGTAGATAGAATATGGCTTCGGGGATATTATAACAAGATCCCCATATACCCCATATATCATCTACTTAAAGGGGGAGTATACAGCATCACCTGCGCCCGAATCAGATCACCCTACACCTTAAACCCTAAACCCTAAAGCGTCATTACGCTCAAGGTGACCTGAAAAAAACTTGAAGCCCGCAACCGGTTTAGGGCATAGGATTTAGGCCACAACATGCCCTGATCCGGAGGGTAGAGGCCCAATGATTCAGAAACACACCAAGCTCTGAACCCGAACCCCAAAACCGTTTAACCCTCAAAACCCCGAACCCTGAACTCCAAACCCCCCCCCTTGAAACTTCCAAACCCAAAAACACAAACTCTAGCCTTCCGGTGGTCCCTACGGATTCCGGAGTCAGGGCTCGTGGTTCCTTGCAGTGTTCCCCCTAGAAGTAATTGTATAGTAGTTCCATTTCACATCACGCCTGAACACGACCTGCCAGGTAGAAGTCTCTGGCAGCTTCGTGACCTGCGCTTAGCAGAGGAATGAAAACTCAACGGAAAAGACAATGGCAAAATGAATGGAAATCTCAGATCCCTTAAAGGGGGGTTTAGGGGTTAGGATGGCTAGGACGATTCAGAGCCAAATGGAACATAAAAAGGAATCCTTTGGGCGCTTTGCAGGGATAATGTGGGGTTAAGGGTTCAGGAATATCTTGCTGCTACTGTCTTCTTTGGGCTTTTGTGAGGTTTCCTGTATGGTTGCTGTTGGGGAACTTAAATGAACTTACTAGAATAATGAAGCCCCATTCTTTACCGGCTACCCATATTATGAAACTTACTAGAATAGTAAACCCAATTATTCACTAGTACACATATTATGGAACTTACTAGAACGACGAACCCCATTATTGGCTAGTTACCCGTATTATGGAACTTGCTAGAATAAGGGAACCCCATTATTTACTAATTGCCCATATTGCGGTAACTTGATGTAAATAACTGAATAGCAACCCTGTTGTGGGCGATGGCATTTTGAGGATACAGTCCAGCGACTCTGACGTTCACCAACATTGATCGCAGGCGGCATCAAATGCTGGAAGCTTTTGCTACCCTAAACCCTATGCCCTACATAGTTGCTTCCACGTTCTTTTCCATATAACCCTGCATACCCTTCTACTACACATATGTGGGAAAATACCCGAGCAGAAAGGTGCTTTTTTTGCGGCTGCTCTTCCCACAGCGCGGCGAGCTCACCGCGGTAGGCAGCCAGCAGCGAGACGCAACCTGCGCCACCCAAGTTTAGGATCGGGGGTTTAGGGTTTAGGGTTTAGGGTTTAGGGTTTAGGGTTGTCTAGGGTGCTTGTTATGCGCAACTTGTCTGTGTGCACCCACACAGGAGCCACTTTCTGCAAGGTTTCTGGCAGAAAGCACGAGGAAAACAGCTCTTTTGGTTCCACGCTGAGTTGCTGACTTGACAAACATAAGGTTATATAGGGGTATGTAGGGGTTGCATAGGGATGATGGAAAGGAAAACGGAAGCTACCGTTTAGGATATGGGGTTTAGGGTATTATCCTTTACGCTTTCCAACTTAGAAACCCTCAGTCGCACAGAGCTCGAAAGTCCATACATAGAGTCCTTGCCTAAGCACAAGGGCAAGATGCCTAAGACCTGCAGCGGAAATCATTCGCTAATTTACAGAGCCGGGTTGCTTTTATGGAACTTAAAGCTCAGTTACCGTACTGGGCTGGGGTGGGGGGACCATATGAATTACTATATATATATATATCTACCCATTATGGTAGCTTCACTTAAACTCCTGAACAGCAACCCGCTTTAGAGAGCTGGCCTAGAGTAGCCGGCACCAGCAGCACCAATGCCTCATAGGTAAACAGAAAACGCATGGATTTTGAGACTTCTTCGCAATGTGCGACAGAGTTCAGAAGCAACTTGTGCGGCATTTAGGCACCAGGGGCAAGCAGGGCGAAAGCAGCCAGACCCACATCTGATCCACTGGGTTGCGGTTAAGGAATTTGATTCAAGTTGCCATACTGAGTGTGTGTATATATATATAGCGAATAATAGAGGTTCACCAATATAGTGAGGTAAACTCAGTTCCTCATCAGCAAGCCAGTCCAGAAATGATGGAGCGCACGTCTTCCAAGCTAGACCCCCAAAGCAAGACTCTGCAAATCCTCTTATGTAAGCTTTATGCATATGACTGCGAAAGAGGGTCCTTGTAGCGAAAAAGTTTACCCGAACCATACAGGGCGCACTTGTTCTTTTTGGGCGGATTTATCGCATCAAGGGTTTTGGGGGAGGATGTGGGACACAAGATGTGGCGACAGCGACAACATCATCATCACCACCATCATCATCACCATCCTCGAAATCATGATGATAATCATCATCATCATCATGCATTTCAGCTAATTCGTTTTAGCATTCCCATAAATCTTTGGGTATATGTAGGGACCGAAACTCGTGGTGTTATGGCGGGGCTTCAAAGTCGGGACTTCTCTGCGTTCTCTGCAGATCCATGAGCGCAGGGTGCAGGGGGCTCGGGAAGTGGAGTTCAGGTTAATCAGAGATGGCTGCAGTCTCCTGCAAGGGGCTCCTTCTCTGGATCCCATGTACATCCTGATATACATCCCTAAGCCCAAAAGCATAAACCCTACGCCTTCAACCCTGAATCCTGAACCCTGGACCCCAAATAGATCCAAAACCTGAATCCTCACTGAGCCGGCCACTGGTAAGCCTGGGAGGTTGAAGGTGTACACGGCTGCCTCGCAGCCCACACACCTGAGTTTGGGCTTTGGGGTTTTGGGTTGAGTGGGTGTATATAATTTCAGAGGGCTCAGGGCTGTTGAGTACATGGCATGAGGCAGGGAATTCTACAGATGAGTAAGATGAAAGGCATTGGTATGAAGATTTGGGATTCAAAAGGTTCGTGTTGCGAGGAATGAGTTGGGCAATCCCAAACCCTCTCAATGCCCAAACCCAAAACTTCAGTCTCTCTTGAAAGGCAGCCTTCACTTTCAAGCCCTCAACTCTGAAGACCGAACCAGTTTGCTCATATGTCTAACATTCTGGGGGTCCTGCTGAAGGGTAAAAGAAGGAAGTCTCATAGCAAATCATTGGGAGTGTATCATCAAGAGTCCTCTTGCGGAGTTCTTCAAAGGGGCTCAGCATATTTGGCCAGGTAGGGTTTAGGGTTCCTGTTTGGAAACTCTCGCCTGGAAAAGCTGTCGCTAGCGGTGTGAAAATCGTAGCAGGCTTTGCGCTTCAATGTGCTTCTCAAAACAGGAAGCCCCTGAAAACCTTCAGGATATAGAGAAATTATGACGGAACTAAGTGGCTCTGTGGCATGCTTATGCTTTGCATGCCAGAATGTGCGCCAGCGTTGAATATGCGAAACAGTCTAATGAAGAGCCTGCCAATCAGATGCATACATACGACATGTCAGCCATCAAAAATAATCGTAGCAATTAAAAGATGTAAAAAAAATACCGATAACACGTTTATAATAGTAATAATACTGGTAATATAAATCCGGCAAGCTGCCCAAGCACGTAGCCGATGAGCACCGCGACGAAGTACCCGGGGCTGGCAGCGGTGCAAGACCCTCTCAATCTGCACCAACGCATAATATTACCGGTCCTAGGTATATCCCCTATATAACCCCTATATAATCCCTATATACTAGTTTCCATTCTATTTTCCATTATCCCAATATTACTGGAAAAAGGCGCTGAAACCTCAAAGACCCAAGAACCTAAAGAGGATGCAAAGGCGACAACGGTACTTCCAGTGCTATCGATCATCAGCACTGGCACTACCAGCTTCATGTTACATAATGCGCTTCCTACATCGAACATCATGATCAAGCATGTTTCCAGGGTAGCACTAGTCACTAGTGTTTAACATAACAACCATAAGGTAATGAATGCATCCCGGGTGCAGCCTTAGAACCGAAATCTAAAACCCTCATTCCTAAATCCGAACTCTGAACCCTAAACCAGTAATCCCCCAAAGCCAGAATCCCAAGCCCCCTCGCTGCGTACTAGAACTGGATCACAGCCCGCTAAAGGATCCAACATATGGAACCCCCAAAAATGACCCCCATTAATGCATTGGGGAAACTAGGGATTATTTGAAGGTTCTATTTTTTGAATCCTTGAGAGGGTCTGGGAAAGGGAAGCAGGCAAGTGCGGGTCCTGCTCTCACTCTCACTCTGGAGATCTCGACGAAGAGCCTCGGACTTCTGAGTGATTTAACAAAGTTAATCCTCGGCCCCTCATAGTAAACCCCCCCCCAGCACCCCATAATATTAAATACTCCCCATTGTGGGATAGAATAGTACATTGGGAGTATTCAATATTAGGGGGGTGGGGGATTTAAAATTTGGGAGGATTAAGCAACCTACGTAGTGATACTGCACCTTGGATTGGAAGGGAACCTCAGAACATGTCAATGAAAGTATATGGGAGTTTCCTAAGATTAGGGGCACCAATTTGGGGGTTTGAGATAAGGAACATAATATGTGGGGGTCTATTTGGGGTCCCCCCATTTTGGGAAACTACCATATCTTTGTGGGTGCTCCCGACAAGAGGTATCCTTCTGGGGCACCCTTGGTGCTACCAAGCGCAGAAACAAAGGGCCAACATGAAGCAAGTCCACCGCTTGGGATTCTGAGCATGAGGTGCAGGTTCGGGCTTAGGAGGTTTAGGGTTTAGGCTTCTAGTAGTGTTATTATCTGGGGAAGGTGCCTGCGCCCAGGCGACGCCCCTGATAATGAACCTGACCACCCCCTTGAAGATGTTAATCCGCCACTGGTAGAATGGTACTATATCGGGGACATGTATTATGGGGGTGGAGGGGCTACTTGTTCGGTGGTGAGGAAGAGAAAGCGAGAGCTCTGAAGTCAGACACACAAGCTCTGCTGATACCCCAAGCCAATGTAAGCTAGAGTCTAAGCCGCTTAAAGGAGGTTATGTAAGGGATTATGTAGGGGACTACTATAGACGATGTCTCATATGGAGCATGGAACACTTCAAAAGGGCTTTAAAAGGGTTGGATAGGAGTGCATAAAGGTATATAAGGATGTATCGGTTGATTTACGGTTTCGGGCTTCGGGTGTAATACTCCCCCAATGTTACCTGGAAGCCCAGAATATGCTCTGCTGAGACTACAGTCCTTTGAAACATATCAGGTTCCATGTTTGGCTGGAGCAACCTAAACTCCTGCTCCTGCAGCAGCCACAGCTGCCTGCCAGAAGGCCTCGCATCCGTAACTTCCTCTTTACACCCTAGAGAAGGGTCTGGAATTCTGAGAAACCCCTCCTTGAGCCTAAACCCAGAAACCGCCAAGACGCCTACAAAAATCAAACTGCATGCCAGTACGAAACAGACTGCGCAGAGCTCAGCTGCCCACCCATCCACCCAGGACAGCAGGGAAGACAACATCTCCAAGACCCAAAACATCCTTTCCACAGGCTGTAGTGCAAAAGGGTTGATGACATGGTATGGAAGGGGTTATGGTTGGGAATCCTAGGGTTTAGCTGGGCTTTCAAGACTCTCCGCTGGTTTCGAAATCAAGGGAGAGACTAAGTTAGTTAGGTTACGAAACACTAGTTTTCTCCCAGGGCTTGGGTTTGTGAGAGACTTTAAGATTGTAACCTGGGTTTGCTCTACTTAGGTCCAAAATCTCCTTGCGTAAGATAACTCGTATATTTGACAACATTGACCCGAAGAGGGCAATGGTGCACTCTCAACAGTAGGGTTCTCGTTGGTACCTTTAGAAGATTTTGCGTTAAATCCTGCTCTATGCCCTAAACCGTGTGGGGACACACCATCTCAAAACCCCTCTATATGGGAATGCACATCATCCGCAACCTGTTTCTTGGCCAAGAAACAAAGTAGTTGGTCGTGCTCTAGATGGTCACCCTGTCAACGAAACATGGTTTACTGAACAAGCCCCCCTCTCCTAACAACAGATACCCCCCTACTATGAGATGATGCTACTAGATTGGGAATATAGAAAAAATCCTACCTAATGTCACTGAGTGCCGATCACTGGCACGGCTGCCCAAGACGACCTCGGAGGTGTGGCTTTGCCGAAGACGCTCTTCCAAGGGTTCAAGGTTTTGAGCTCATGTTGCTTAGTACCCTTTGGGGCAATTGCAAGGCTAGGGTTCAAGCCGTTTGGGTTAAAGTTCTAGGGTTGGGGTGCACGGATTTAGGGTTTAGTATTTAGGGAGCTGTTAGCCCTAGCCCTGGCTTTCTTCACAACGGTATGGCTCAACAAGCCTAAATTCACAATGTAGCCGAATGCCATGTGGACATGTCAGGAAGTACCTGCGCGACGATGAGCTTGAAGTCGGATCAGTAGAGCCAATGCGCACGCGTCAAGAAAATCTATTCTTTCAATCCACGATACCTTTGCAAGAAGCGGCTCTTTCTACCGAAGCCAGGAGGCTGACCAGCTTGGCAGGCGCAGACAAGATGAAATCTCGAAGTCTGATCACTTGGACCAGTCTGAAAACAAGTGGACGCGAACAAGCGCAGCATGAAAAAGTACAGAAAGCTTTGGTATCAAAAAATCGTTGAGGTGTCATAAGCACCTTTTCTGTCTGAAGAATGCTCGGATGCCTCCAGTCGCGATGAACCGCAAGAGTTGCTAACTAAGACAATAGAGATTCGGGCAAGTGCTACAAACATGGCTACCCCCCTCCAGATGCTTGCTGCCTGGCCCTCCGAGTTTGACCCCAAACCATTTCCATCTCTCTGCCTTCAAGAAGGATGTGACCCCAGGCGCCCAAAAACAAGGACCCTGTCACAATCATATGTAATAATAAAGCTCTCATGTTCACGGTCGGATTCAATAACGAATTCTACTGCGCTTCTGGCAACAAGATGTGGGGAGTTGTCAATCGTATGTTCCCTTTTTGGGTCCCATTTTCATGCAGCCCCGATTTAGGTTAAGTGCCCAAAAAACTGTGATCTAGAACAACCCTGCATGTAGCTTAGCCCGAAGCCCTGCAACCTGAACCGTGGCTTAATACACGTCCCTGTGCCGTGTTCCTTCAAAATATGATGGGTTGTCAAAATTATGGCCACTTTTCGCGTCTATACAATGCAGCCCTTAACATTTAGGGTACCCAAAGGGCCACCGCAATTTTGACAAACCCTCATGTACAAAAGCTTACTGGTGGCTAGTAGGGAAGAAGGGAACATAATCCCTATGAAGTCCAGAAAAAATCGCTATATCATCCCTATTGATCCCTATACCTAAACCCTCAACCCTGAACCCGACACCCCCAAACCCTAAAACCTAAACCCTAAACCCCTAGACCCTAAACCCCTAAACCCCAAAGCCCTAAACCCCAAACCCTAACCTTATCCTTATCCCTTACTCCCAGGCTGAGAACCCAACCTCCAGCAGGCCAGGCCTGCATGCAGGCAGCCGAGAAATTGCACAGATTTGGGTGGTTGGGGGGTTCTTAGTGTTACTGTCATATATTGGGGTTTATGTAGGGCTGTATAGTGGCTATACAGGAGTTATATAGGGGTTATGTATTATTGAGGCCTTTGAAGGTGTTGCGGCTTAGGGGTGCTTAAGGGTGTTCTGCTGTGCTCAGGGATGTTTAGGGGTGTTAGGGGTTTAGGGTTTAGGGTTGAGGCGTTTGGCCTTTGGGGCTTAGAGCTTAGGGATTGGGGATGAATGTCAAGGTTTTGGTAAGGAAGTTTCCAGTCGACGGCTTCTTTGGGTGCTGGTTTTGAAGCCCCCTTGTCCTCAAGGGCGTACAACCCCCAAAATGAAGCAGCAATGGGAAGGAACTTCGGGAATGGAATGGAAACTGGGCTTATGTAGGTTTTTGTAGGTATTACGTAGCCATCAATCATAGGCACCACCCTGGCTCTCGTCATGCGTTAATTTTCGCGTTCCCGAGAGCCTGCTTTGGTGATGTGTTTGACATTGCCCTTGGAGCTGGGAACTCCCCAAGGAATTCGAGTCTGCATCACGCGATTTTCCCACAATTGCTGGTAGGATCCCTGATGAGACCCCACTAAGAATCCAGCATTTTGAGACACCCCAACATCAGCTTCTACATCTGGAAGCCGAGAAATGCAGACGTCAAAACCAACCAACCTCCAATCTCGTGCTGTGTTGAGGTGTCCTAATGGGAATCATAACCTAAAAAACATAATTACCAACGTCCAGGAAGGTGATTACATCGAAGGGGACCCGCATTCCATGTCCGGCAAACAGGTATATTCCCCAGTGTGAAAATGTTGGACTGGTGTGTTGTATTTCTGACTGGGGTGGGTATACTTGAAGCTAAACGAGGACCCATACCTTACTTGAGGGACCACAACACTTGCCCGTGGCTGCATGCGCGCTACCTGAGTGGGTAAGCCTCATGTCTCAGATCAAAATCAAAGCCAAAAGCCTTGCCATGCGCCACCCCCGCTCAATTCCAGTGGAATTAAACTGAAGCTACCCTGAAATTCTTGCTTAAGCCCCGAAACAACTTAACCTTGGAGGCCACAGGGAATGCAAAACCTGACAAGCTCTAGGGCCTATGGTTCAATCCTGAACACAACGGGTCTAGAAGGGCAGATGGGAATATGCTACCTAAGGATATATGTAGGGACCATATTCCCTTACTCCCTACTAACAACCAGTAAGCCAAGGGCTTGCAGTTAAGGGATCCTGACTACAAGTTGGAGCGTTAAGATCACGTCGCAATCCTGAATAATTGCAAACTCCAAAGGAACCCAGCTGCAGGAAGTCTGACGCTTTTGCGCACTGAGCCAAGAGTCTGTGGAACTCTCAGAAAACTTCTTCGACCATACGGTCACCGTCCTTGTTTTGATTCAGCTCGGCATCCCCTCGCCTTCCACGAAGCACGTCATTCTGAGGGAATAGGAAGAAGGCAGGGTTTGGTTTTGTGACCTTGAAAGCCTTTACTGAAAGAAAGACCCGAAAATACAATGCCTTTCCGCTCCATCTTGTACAAACGTCAGTTGTTTACCTACTGGTGATTAAAGGCGGATGGGCAGGTGGAGCCCTGTAAAACCCCAATTTTAGCCAGTACAATAATGCTTATATTGGCCCACCACCACACAAACGCTAAACCCTAAATTATACAAAGGCTCCACCCTTTATCTTAATTCTGGTGCAGAGAACGAAAGAAAAGCAAAGGTGATTCAAACTGTTACATGGCTGCTATGAGGATCTTGTCCTCTATCCCTTCTTAGCCGGAGGCAAAGCAAACGGTGGGGCCTAAACTATGTAAACCCGAAACCCTAAACCTTTAACTTAGATGGCCTTTTTGAGGGTCTCTATAAGACGGAGTATAGTATTTCGGGGGCCAACACCACCGTCCCATGATGTATGGAAACTACCATCTATCGCTAAGGCTGCACCCTAAACCCAAAACCACAAACCTTAAACCCCACACCCCAAACCCAAAACGATGGTGGGCGGCGCCTATGCCCTTCAACATCAATGGCACAAGCCGACATACCTGGACTTGCCTCAGCACAACCACGAGGTCGGTAGCACCTATGATAGGCCCGGTACCGGAACTTGTTCTCCTTACAACCAGTACTGGTTGCTTAATAAAGCAATTACCTTAACCCCCCCAGGCTCGAAATTTCTCACCGCGGCCTGTCAAGGCACCTTCAGCAAAATTGCAGAGCCTTGCCAGAGCCTTGCCAAGCCTCTGGGGCCAGGCCTCCAGGCTTTTCAGCCCAGAAAGCCTCCTCGCCTGAAAACCAGCCTCTGAGATCCCTTCAACAACACAAACATAAAATGAACATGAATTTGTCTTGTTGACCCAGATGGACCTAAGTGAGTTTAGGTCTGAGCCCTGAAGGGCGTAGGTTTGGGTGGCTTGGCCGCCTCAGACTGCGTGGGCTGGGTGAATGTGTTAGATGGCCTTCTACAGTCAGACCATGGGAGCACCTCGCAAGCCACGATGCACTCGACATTGCCTTGGAGCTTGTGCATCGCATGTTCCACGTAACATCACAGCAAATCCTAAACCCCCAACCCTAGACCCTAAACCCCAAACCCCAGACCCCAGACCCTAAACCCGAAGCCCCGAACCGTAAACCCTTTATTCTACAAACCCCTATTTTCACCAGTGGGCCTTGAGCGAAGAGGAGGTGCAGAGCCCAGGCCCATGCTAAGGCCATAACCTGACTTCTGAGGACGGAAACTACTGCTTATGGGTTTAGGGTTTAGGG